GGCACACACGGGCGCGCGCCTACCGCTAGAGGTCCCCCAGCCAAGGCAGGAAGATGTGAAGGGTCCCGTAGCGGAAGCATTTTTTTCCCCCACTTAAATCCTTCCTTCTCAATTGGCTCTGAACAGTCACTGTTAACTCCCGCTCCTGCAAACACTTATGTATGGGCTCACCTTTCCCGTGGCGTTATTTACAGTAGCTCGGGCACAAGTCTTTTATCGTTTCTATGGCAATTATTTTAGGTCTTCAAGGAAGATGTGAAGGGTCCCGTAGCGGAAGCATTTTTTTCCCCCACTTAAATCCTTCCTTCTCAATTGGCTCTGAACAGTCACTGTTAACTCCCGCTCCTGCAAACACTTATGTATGGGCTCACCTTTCCCGTGGCGTTATTTACAGTAGCTCGGGCACAAGTCTTTTATCGTTTCTATGGCAATTATTTTAGGTCTTCACTGATCTGTTATTCCTCAAGAGCTTTTAGACCTTGGGATTGTTGTTTTTTAAACTAGATTATCAGCCAAAAAATATTTTTTTGCACAAGTCATCAATTTGCAATGACACTTTGGGGCCATAATTAATATTGCTGCGAGGAGTCCTGTGGCAACTTCTAGACTAACCGAAGTGTTGGAGCATAAGCTTTCGTGGGCAAAGACCCACTTCGTCAGATGCATCTGACAAAGTGGGTTTTTGCCCACGAAAGCTTATGCTCCAGCACTTCGGTTAGTCTAGAAGGTGCCACAGGACTCCTCGCCCCTTTTGCAGATTCAGACTAACAGGGCTACCCCTCTGATAATTAATAGTGCTGTTTATAGTTTCAGCATTTGATCTACCAAGGCTATATCAGCAACATTATACACCACAAAATTTTTTAAAGTGAAATGAAATGCATGATAAGAGAAATCCATTTCCCAGAAACATCTTCTACTAAAATTTCTTCTGGAAGAGTTGCAATAATTTTAAGTGTACCAAGTGCACATTTGTACCAAGTGCTTTTAGCGGCTATTAGTTTCCTTTTAAAAGATGAGTTTGTTTCAACTTGAATTAAAAGAAATGTAGCTGTTAGGTTTTTATGCAGTATCTGTCAGTTGTCTACATTAACTTCTCCCACACTTAAAAGTATTGTGAGCAGAATCTTTTCCACTCCTGCTAAACTATTGTCCTTTTAAACTTCTTTAAATACTTCAAGAAGCCTTAAAAGTAATTTCATGATATTGAAGTCTAAACATTTTTATCATACAAATTAACAAGTGACACACAGAATAACATTAATGCAGGTAATAAAGAGGTTAAATATTGACCCCAATCTTCAGCTTACACCAATAGAGGAAAAATAGATGATTGCAAATCAAATCAAGGTTTACAGCACTTTGATTTCTGTTGCTTAGAAGAATAGGTACTAATTTATATTTTACATGTCAGAACATTATGTACCATAGTGTGCACAGCATTTCAAAAGTTTAGGTGTTGCTGTTTTCCATTTCTATAATCATTCTGAATCTTAATCTGCTCAAACAACCACAGGCTTTGGCTGGTGGTATTTGAAACAAAAACAAACGTAGATTTTAAAAGCAAGACATTTTATGTCTCATAGCTAATTAAGGAATCATACAAGAAAGAAGACAGAGGCAGTTAGAGGAAGAAAGGGACATTTTCCTATGTGAAATGCCAAGCTATTAATTACCTTTGGACCTGATTCTGCAAAAACTCATGCAGGTGCTTAGTTTTATCATGAGTAAGTTCATATCAAATGGATAGAGCTACTCGTTATAGTAAAATTATGTGCATGTGTAAGAATCAGGTGCATATTCCTGAAGCTATTTGCTAATACCTGAAGTATGGACACACGTAGGTCCAGATGCTGTAAATTACTAATGTAAGTCTTAATTTTACAACCATGGTAATCACTGGGATTTAATTTAATCTTTCTCAAGAATTGAAATCAGAATGCGGTGTTCACATTCCCAGGAAAAGGGGAGGGTTGGGAAATAACTAAATTGACAATGCTTCTGGTGATGTAACTAGTTAGCCACTGGAGGAGATGGGTGTAAAGAAATCTTGCATATGCAAAATTAATCATATGCATTTTAATCAGTACACTTGTCTAATAAAATGTGCTAGTAACATGACCAATAATTAATGTGGCAACCCCCTAATATTAATGTCATTATGTATACTGTGAACATAATGCTTTAATTCAGCAGTTTATTTGATTTTCTTATGTATTTTGTTGATGTAGGATCAAAAAGAAAGAGCTTGGTATGTTGGAAACGCCATCAATTCCAAACCCTTTTCCTGAGCTATGTTGCTCTCCGCTTTCATCAGTTTTGTCAGCCAGCTTGTTGCCCAAGGCCACTTCAAGAAAAAAACAAGTAAGTCATAACTTTTTTTTGTTAAAACAGTTCTACAATTTTTTTCCAGTTCTCAAAATATATAATAATTTACAAAATTGGTCCAATTCTAAATTCCAAATAATAAATGTTCCCATGAAATTATCATACTCTAATGATCACCACCATTAATAGTCTGTTTATGACTTTTTGTAATTCATAGTGTCATATATCTAGGAGAGTTCAATATTTTTCATAGTTGAGATGGGACTGACTAATCTGTAATAGGTAAAGAGAGATCTCAGGGAGGTTATGCTTTGTCATCCTTAATGCCTTGCCCATAATTATAATTAGACTATATCAGCTGAGAGTTCACAGTAACTGAAGAGCTTTTTATCTAAAGTGTATAATGGTTTTAGTATAGCTGTGCACACAAAATATATTAAAGATTAAAGAACTCTACCAGATTTTTAACCATGTTAGGTGGATAGTGGGTTTATTATTGAATTCTGTAGCATACATATACAGTATTTAAATGAATCTCTTAAATGTGAGTCAGAGAAAGCACACCTTTCAAGTGGTCAGGTAAGATTTGCATTCCAATAATAGGTCCTCTTTTTCAGAGGAGAAAATAAGTTGCAAGAAACTAGGGTATTCTTTTGTAGTCCACGTTCACTTACAACATACTTGTTGACTTGAGAAGGGATGTCTACTTTAGAGCAAGAAACCAATGGGGTTTAAACTTTGTCTCTTACAAATTGGCCCAACTCTTGAATTTTTTAAAAATGTATGTGGGTGGAAGAAACTTCATGTCAGTGGAACACTCCTACTGGCTCTCTGGGATCTTTCCTGTGAGGTGTTTTAGACATTGGGCAAGTACAAAAGGAAATAGAGCTGATGAGTACCTACTTGCAGGAGGACTGTTTCTTGCTCAGCGTTCAGATTTCCATCAAGAAATTGTGCAAGCTAACATGGCTATTAGTAGCTTTCATTTCTCTGCAGTGATCAGCTACAGAGAGACTGTTAGTAACAGGGCAGTTTCTACTGGAAAATGTCCTCCTGGGATATGTGAGGTGTTAAAAATTTTAATGCCCTTCTGGCATGAAAGATCTCTTCAATAATCCCTACCTAACCCTTTAAAGTTGTCCCATTACAGGGAATGGTGTTCTGAAAGAAGTCCATCTGGATTGAGTTCAGGTCCCACTGGTCATCCTCATGCATTGCTCCATGACCAGGACTATCTGGCCCACTGTTCCATCTGCTGTGTCACTATATCTCTCAACTTTTTCCCCAGTCATAGTAAGCTCCTTTGCATTATAGGTCTGGAGGCTGATGTAGAGGATAGGTACCAGGGGCTTGTCAGCAAAATCCAAGAGTAATACTTCGATGAGATGCCATTTCCTGATGTCTATCTGTTTTCAGAGGCTCCATCCTTCAGTATTGGTCTCTGAAAGCTTCTTGCTTGCTTGCTTCTTTCTCAACCCCTTTCTTCCCTATGACAGTTTGTGTGAGGATTTCCATTACTTTAACTTTTTTCTGCAACCTCCTGCTGTGAAAGTTGGGGTTCTGTGGCATGAGACGGGAGCAAGAGATCACTATTACTTGAACCCTCCTCACCTAATTCTGTTGGGGTCCATCTTATTTTCAACAATGAATGGGAGTGGTGTTTGCTTACGCTATTATTTCTCTAAGTTTTGCATTAACGGAATCACCTAACTCTTGTCATTTTCACAACTGCCTGCAGGATTTTGACTATCAGAAGTGAAACTGAGTGCACATGTGTAATATTAATACTCGGTGAAGCTATAAACAGCAGCAGAGACATTATGGGTATCTTTCTGCAGAGTCAGGAAGAAAACATTGAATCTGTTCATATTTGTAAAATTCTTTGCCCTCATAAGGGCTAGACACTCTTACTTGAAACTTTTTCTAACACCTCCTATTTAAGGTTTAAACCTGTCTTTTTCCACTCGACATGGCAATCTTTGTACTTAAAGCTATTAAACTGTTTAAGTCCTCCTATAATATTGCAAGAGCCCAACTGCATGTTGTTGTAGTCGATCAAATTGAAAAGTATTTGTCTTCATTAATTAGCACCACTCAATCCTGAGGCTGGTGTATGAGTATAAATGTAAGTTTCACATCTTTACTGCTTTTATTGAAGTCTAGTTCAGTTAAAGGCTCTTGCTCTGGGCTCCAAATCTTTGATCCCATTCCAATCTTTGTACTGTCATTTTTTTCTCCCATTTAAGGAGAAAAACGTTTGTGGTAAAAGTATTAGTGGATTAAAAATCAACGGCCTTCTTTAAAGGTGGAGTTGCAATAACTGTTATATATGGCCTGATCCAATGCTCAGTTAACTCAAAGGGGCCTTTTCTGTTGATGTCATTGGGCATTTGATCAAGTCCATAATATGTCCGCTGAGAATGCTGGCACTTTTCAGATGTAAATTGCACTGAACTTATAGCTTAAAGCTCAAGTAAAAATGTTTCAGTCCTGAAATGATTATTTACTCAGATTTCAGTTTTGTTTTGCAATATAGATTTAAACCCTCCAATAACTTTTTTTTCAGTAAAGTATTATATCTTCCTTGCACATGAGTAAACAGGTGTGCAGAGAGCTGAAGTAACTTGTTTAAGGCTTCACAGAGAAAGAGACAGATTCTCTTCTCTAGAATTTGAGTCTCTCCCAGTTCCCGGTGCTTGCTTTAGCCACTTTTTTATTCTTTCTTTGTAACAGAGCTGCAGTATGTTGAATACAGATACGAATGCTACTGTGAATACATTATTACTATAGAATTACATGAAACTAGAAACCTCAAAGCCAGTTGTAATAAGAGAATTCATTATCTCTAAAAAGAGAATTGCAATTTGTTACACTATTGTCAAATACATTATATATAGTGCTCGTGGTTAAAGGGTTCCTTCTCATCTTAAATTTATTTTCCTGATGGATTTAAGCAAAAGACAAGTAAAGAAAATTTACAAAGTTAGCTTCTAAATAAGTCTAATGTATCATTGTCAGACAAGTTTCGGTTTCCACCAGCGGCGATTTGGATGACTACAAGAGTGAATGCTGGAGAAAAGAAAGTAGATTCAGAAGTTAAAACAGGAGAACAAGTTAAAAATTACTTAGAAAAGTTAAATCCTTTCAAGTCACCAGGGCCTGATGAAATGCATCCTAAAATACTCAAGGAGGTAACAGCTAATGGCTCAGACATCTTGGAAAAGTCCATGGAAAACGGGAGAGATTCCAGAATATTGGGAAAGGGCAAATATAAGGAAATAAGGACAATCCAGGAAACCACTGACCAGTCACCTTAACATGTGTGCCAGGAAAGATAATGGAGCAAATAGTTAAATAATCCATCTGGAAATTAAGGAAGTAAGTCAGTCAGCATGGATTTGTAAAGAACAAATCTTGTCAAACCAACCCAAGAGCTTTCTTTGATAGTAAAACAAGACTTGTGGATTAGGGGGAAATGGTCGACATGGAATACCTAGATTTTTAGTAAAGCATTTGATACAGTCTCTCGTGACCTTCTTATAGATAAACTAGGGAAATACACCTAGGTGAGGCTACGATAAGGTGGGTGCAAAACTGGATGGGTAACCATTCTCAGAGAGTAGTTATTAATAGTTCACAGTCATGTTGGAAAGACATAACAAGTGGGTTTCTGCAGAGATTAGTCTTGGAATGGATTCAGTGTCTTCATCAACAACTCAAAAAATGGCATAGAAAGCACTCTTATAAAGTTTGTGGGTGATACCAAACAGGGAGGGATTGCAAGTGCTTTGGAGGACAGGGTTGTAATACAAAATTATCTGGAGAAATGGTCTGAGATAATAAGGAGAAATGCAAAGTATTCTGCTTAAGAGAGGAACAGTCAGTTTCACCCATACAAAATGGGAAATGACTGTCTAGGAAAGAGTACTGCAGAAAAGGATTTAGGGGTAATAGTGGACCACAAGTTAATATGAGTCTAAAGTATGATACTATTGTGAAAAAAGAGAACCTTATTCTGGGAATGCATTAATATCAGTGTTGGAAGCAAGACACAAGAACTAATTCTTCTGGTCTACTCTGCATCAGTTAGGTCTCAACTGGTATATTGTGCCCAGTTCTGGGCACCACATTTCAGGAAAGATTTGGAGGAGGTCCAGAGAAGAGGAACAAAAATGATTAAAGGTATAGAAAACATGACACATCCCATCTCAGTCTTCTCTTTTCCAAACTAAACAAACCCAGTTCTTTCAGTCTTCCCTCATGTATCAGCTTTCAAGTACCTAAAAGATTGTTACAATGAAGATGGAGAAAAATTTTTCTCTTTTAATATCTGATAAGACAAGAAGCAATGGGCTTAAATTGTAGCAAGAGAGCTTTGGGTTGGATATTAGGAAAAACTTCCTAAGTGTCAGGATGGTTAAGCACGGGAATACATTGTGTATGGAGGTTGTGGAATCTCCATCATTGGAGATATTTAAGAGCAGGTTGGATGGTGCTTGGCCCTGCCGTGAGTGCAGGAATCTGGACTTGATAACCACTTGAGGTCCATTCCAGTTCTAATATTCTAAGTATGCCCCTAAAAGAAAGAAAGAGAGCCTAAAACATAAAAATAAGATGAAGTAGATATATACAACAGAGCCATTCCACATATCCAGGAAACACAATATCAAACCTTTTTTTCTATGTTAAGTCTAGCCAACTGTTTCACAGGTACTTGGATCACTCTGTAGATGTCTTTGGGTGTTTAATAGATTTTGGGAATGATTTTCCAACATTTTTTCTATAATCTTTGGTCTCAGAAAGGAGAAATTTAATTGGACTCCAGTATCATGGGCTGTTTGAGAATTTCATGGTTTTCCTCTCCTTTTGTCCCACCACACTACAAGTCAAAGTAATCAAACATCTTTCTTATGTGGCTGCCTGTTTTAAAATATAGCCCAGGAATTCTCTAATTTTGAAAGAGGCTTGGATTGTTCAATGGGATATTATTTCAGATGTTTCAGGCATCTGGCTGTAAAAGACCTGTCTCACCTAGA